CATCCACAATGCCCCTTTCTCTTGATTACAACAAGAACTAATTGTGCACAGTTGCTCACAGAATACTTCACATACATCATCTGGTAAATTCTGTCTGGTCTGTAGGGTGGGCGTTTGCATTTTATAGCTGAGGAAATTGAGGCCCAGAGAGGTTCAAGGGCTCAGGTGTGATCACAGCTAGGAAATGGTGAAGGTGGGACTTCAACCCAGGTCCTCTAATCCTGAGTTCATCCTAGTCAGTCAATTCTGCCTTTCCTTCATTTTTTTGCTTGTTCCTCTCTACCATCATTTCTCTTTCTTTTTCCTAGCACCAACCTGAGAAATCCTGATGATAGGAACTTGGTTCTCTTTCTCCTTCACTTCATAAACATCCATCATATCTTTTCCTTTATTCCTTCCCTTATCCCCACTTGCAGCCCAGAAATGGGGAAAAGATTGCTCAGTGGTACTTAATGTCATAGGCTCCCAAGTGAGGACAGAAAAGGTTGTCAGTGTTTATTACCAAATGGTCTCTAAGACATTATTACTTTCATTGTCTTTCTATTAAAATTTTTTTTTTTAAATTTTCAAAGCACTTTACCTGCATTCTCTCAACTGATCTTGTTTTAACACCTCTGTTTGATATGGATCACTAACAGGCTACAGGTAAGGAAACAGGCTCAGAGAGGTTGAGTCTTCAAAAAGCATGTTTCTGTCTGTGAGCAGCATTGTGTAGTAATTTCTGTATGCCTATAGACACTGATGTTCATTTGAGCCCTCGGTCTGGAAAAAGTTAGCAATGCATGGGTTAGCTCCTTAACATTAACATGATTTACCTCCCCCATCTCTTTTTGGCAACAACATCAGAAAAGATTAAAAAATGGGTGATACTTACCGTTCAGGAGACCACTTTAATAATATCAGTTTTCCGCCTTGTAGCCCTTGGCAGGACTCCCTTTTCATAGATCACAATGTTGGCACAGGGCCAAGAGATGGTGAGGTTGACTCACGGGTCACTGCAGTTTATGAGAAGTCAGAATAATAAAAAGGAAGGCAGATCTGGCAAGGGAAAAATTTTGGTGTTGTGCTAAGCAAACTAATTACAGCTAGCTCTGAATAATATGGGAGGAGTAAAGACCTTTGAACAAAGCCAAGCCCAAGGGAAAAAAAGGGTCTACGTAAAAAGTCAGACCACTATACTAAGAGCTTGCAAGTACTCTCGAAATTGGCCATTAACTTGTTATTTATACTAAAGTCAAAGAAAAAAAACCCAGAAGTCTGCTCAAGCAAATACTTCTATTAACCAGTGTGAAAAGATAGTACTTCATGGAGTAATGAGAAAACACACACACACACAAATGCACACACAATTGGTTTTTAAATTGGCTTTGCTGCAAGCTACATAACCAGAGTAAAAAGTACCTCTTTGTTCACTAAGCTACTGCAACTTAAAAAAAAAAAGAAAAAATTTCAAGATAAGCTCAGCTTTTAAGTTCAGTTGGCGAAAACCAAATACAGCTACAATTATTATTAGGCCTTGGTCTGTGAAAGGCTCTAAGAGTGAAAAGCAAACCAGCACTACCTTTAGCCCATAAGGGATTACTCTTTTATTAGTATAGTCTTGGGATTAGTGGAAATGTCTGTCTAATGAATGCAGCTACTATATTTGAGCACATGCCTGAATAAGCTACTTGTTGATTGAAACCTATCTATTTATAAGCACTTCTGCATGTTGTGAAAAATCCATCTGTACTACCACAGCATGGCACCCACCAACGGAATAAAGGCTCTTTGCCATTTCACTATCCAGCCTGTTGAATGAACAGTCAGAGAAGAAGTGTGTTGCATCCACTTAACAGATTTTATTCCCCACTCTTGGCCAGTAAAGTAGAGTTACCTTATCTAAACAGAAATTTAGATTGATGTGGATGTTATAAAAACAGAAATGGAAAAAAAGACATACTTTTCATCAGACTCACCCAGAGTTTTAACCTAGTAGATCTTCCATAATTTGGATAAATGGTCACAAAAAGCCCAAACTAGCCAGACTTCTGCTTATGTCATAATTGCTGGACTAAGTCTGGAAAGTAGCTGGATTTACCCATATTTGTTATTATTTCTTCTTTACATTTCTGCTTATGAATACCACACTGATAGCACATCCAACAGAAACAAGTATGGCATGAAAAGAATAGTCTTGATACACATTAAACCAGTCAGTGCTTTCAATGTTTGTGGTCCTCATCACTGTACTGAGGATGTGCCTGAGTTAAGGCTGATCCCCCCACCCCTAAATAGGGACCTCAAAGTCCATTCTGGGATTCTGTCATTCTGAGCCCCGCCTTTCTACTCCCCACCCCTCAACATACCCTCTATTCTGCCGCCCAGACTCAGCACCAACTCTCTATGCTTCTTGGGTTTGGATTTCAGGTGTTGAGAAGGGATCCCTTATTCCACTGCAGTTTATTTTCACTCCTCTGGAGTTAGGGCCCCCATTGACTAAGCTACCTCTTTGGAAAAAGAGTGATGAGGAATTTGTTAAAATTTTTTAAAAAAGAGTAAATAATTTTAGTAAACCATAGGCTATTATCAACTGAGACCTCACAAAATTTCTCTTGGAGAACTTTATAAATGATGACAGTCAAACTGTCCAAGTATCCCACTGATAGAAAGAAGAAGGCTGAAATCAGCTGACCCTTAGAAGCTTCAGCATAGGAAGGAGAAAAAATGCAGCTTTTAACAGTCTTGGAATCCTGGCTGTTTCTCTTTCTAGAGTTTGTGACCCTTCTTATTGATCTAACAAACTGACCTAGCAGGGTTTGTTTTTTTTTTTTTTTCTTTTTCCTAACAGATGACTGGTAAGGGGATCTTAACCCTTGTCTTGGTGTTTTCAGCACCACACTCAGCCAGTGAGCGAACTGGCCATCCCTATATGGGATCTGAACCTGTGGCCTTGGTGTTATCAGCACCACACTCTCCCGAGTGAGCCACACCGGCCCTAGCAGGGCTTTTTTGAGGGTGAAAGATGATGCTATGTAAAATGCCTGGCACATAGTGAGAACTCAGTCACTTGTAGGTATTATTATTCATACTGCGGGAACTTAATAAAAATTAAAGGATCACATCTTTTCTAGTTTTGTAGTTGACAAAGCAAAAGAATAATTCTGAAAACAAAAGCATTAATACTAGAAAACCAAAGTTGAAACTTATAAAAGATATTTAACCATAGCATATCAATACAAAGCACCAAAGACCCTACAGTAAATGATACATAGCTGTTTAAACAGATCCTGTGTTACTAACTCCAAAGCTGGGTCAAAGTGCCATAAGACATAGGAATAATTTCCTGGAAGATACCATTATCACCATACCCATTTTACAGGTGAAGAAATCAAATCGCTAAGTGTTAAACAGTAAGTGTTAGCAGGTGGGGAAGATGAAGTTTCATTTTTAAAACCCCAAGCTTTTCTTACTTTCCTCCCCATACATTTTCTTCAATTATGTTAAACATTCACATAACATTATTAAATATAACCAATAGGTCAATGTCTTTTTTTTATTTTTAAATTTAATCGTTTGTGGAGCACATCTATGTCTTCTAAAAAAGACATCTAATACCTCTCTCTTTTGTGAAATCCTTGCAAGATAACAGAGGATACAAGGCAGCATCCTGTAGATTTTGGTCCAGCATAGCACTGGAGAATAGGACTAGAAGGAGATAACCCTTTTGTGACTTGGTTTGTGACTGCCCACAATCACTGATGCCTTTCTATCTTGAACCCAAAGGAAAGCAAATTGAGAACTAAAAACTTCTAAAACTTTGAAGCTCTACTTCAGTCTTCCACTTGATTACTTAAATCCATGGCCTTTTCAGTATTTCTTTTGTTTCCTATTTGGGTTCACAGCTCAAAACCGATAAAGGTCATCTTAAAACCTTACTTTACCCATCCATTCAACAATCCACCCACCCATCCATCCATCATCCATTTATAGAAGCCATTCCTCAATGGCTTCCATAAAAGATTTAAGTTGATCCATAATGTTAACTCATGCTGCTACCACATTTTACTGGTCTTTCTCACAGGTATTGTCTCTTCTGTAAGAGAAACTGCTTTGGGGCATACATTGACATGTTTTTTAGGCTAGTATGACAACAGAAAAGAGAAGCAGGTGGTTAAGGAAAAAGAACATTTAGAACTGATAAGCATTCATAACCAAAATCCATTGATGTAAGAACTTTTTAGTGTTTTTTAATGTTCAGAATACTTTATGAATTTTGAAATTTCCAAAGGCAGTTTAAACTCACAAAGAAGCTAGGAGTAGAAATTATTCATATCTTATAAATAAGAACATGGAAGAAAAACAAGGGTCAAGTGATTTATGCATGGAACCCAAAAATTCAGCAACAAATGCCAGGACTTAGAATTCTTCACTATGACTTTTGTACTGAGATTATTAAGCTCAGCTGCTGCCTTCAATATTGGTTTCACAGACGTTACTAAGAAAGCATTTTACTTTGCCATTTTTGTAAATCTTCACCCATCTATAGCTATCTTCACCCATAACGGCCTTCTTAAGCAACCATCTTTAGGGCTGGCAGTATACACAATGAGGAGGTAAAGCTTGGTTACTAGTGGCTAATCGTTGAGTCAAAATTTGGGTTATGTCATTTTTTTCTTGCACTTTCTTGATTTAGAAGTTAAACCATGTTCATATTTCCAATTCAGAATTCAGAGAAGGCTGTATCTTTCTGACACAAACACAAAAAATCTTAAGTGTAAACGTTTCCATTGCCAAATCCACTCTTATCACTTTTGGATAATAAAGCAGCCAACCTAATAATTCCACAAAGTTGTAGTATATGATTTTTTTTTTTTTTCCTGTTTAGACCAAGGTTTTCCAAGAAATGATCCAATTCATGTTAGGCTATGAGGGAATAAATCCTATACTAAAAAGAAAACTAATTTATTTAGTCTTTGTGCCAAAAACCTCAAGAATAATAAAAATGCTGAATTCAACTGTAACTAAGCCTAAAGAAATAGGGAACTTTTTATTTAATATACTTCAAAAAGCACAAGCATTTGATAATATCACAAAAACAAGAAGGTTAGCCATAAAACAGAAATTTATTTTAAGAAATCAATATCTCATATTTCAGATATTCAGGTAGAAGAGAAATTCCAGAAGGTAAAAGCACCTTTTCCAGAAACTTCTCCCAACACAGTCAATACTGATTTCGAAATCGGTTGCTTAGGTCTTGGAGCTCCATTACTAAGGCGTCCATAGCTGCTATTTCATCAGCTAACTCCCTGGAAATGTCTCCACTTGCCACATCTGTAAAAAGTTGCTGCAATGTAAAAAACAAAGCAGAACTATCAAAACAATGAAAATTTCTTTAAAATAAAGTAGATATAGAGTATAGAATTAAAATGCAATTTGCATAATAATACCATAACATTATAGTAGCAATGGTAATATCTGTTCTACTCACCATCTTGGAAATGTACAAGCTGCAATAATTACATAATGAATCAAAACAACATGCCTGAACTTAGAAATTCAAATGAGCTCTGTTCTTCAAAGTGGTTGCCTAAATAATGGTTATTCATTTCAATGTTTAGGATGATTTTTGGATGAACAGATATTATTCAACTAAGCAAAACAAATATATTTATTGTGTATGCAACCAAAACAAATATATTTTATATCCAAATTCATATAAATCATACCCTTTATGCTACTTATTTGAAAATTAATTTTGGTTTAGGCCTCAGAGACCACAAAGATTATCAAGATTTGGTAAAAGCAAAGAAGCCCAGCAAAAATAAAATAAAAATAAATGTACCCTCTCCCTAGGAAGAGAATTGCCTTGGGAGGTTTATTGCAACATACTTCAATAATGCTACCATAGCTGAAAATGTTTTGAAATGCCTCTCCGGGAACCACCTGCTGAGCCAATAAAGGTACCCAAGAATATCAGCTTGAGGATTTTATGACCACGTTTTGTGTGTGTGTGTGCATGTTTGTTTGTTTTAATCAGAAATATACTTTATTTAGCTTGCCAATATCTTTCATCAGACTTGACTAGATGATTGTACAGCATTTCTTAAGAGAATGACATAAGAACTGTTGCAATGTGATCAGTAGAGAAAACACCTGGCTGGTACAGGGATCAAACTCTGGACCTTGGTGTTATCAGCACCATACTCTGAGCTAACTGGCCCCCCCCCCCCCCTTTTTTTTTTACTAAGAATTACAGTGCTTGCATATCATAATGTATCTGCGTCATGTCCCTATGAGGTAAGGAGGAAGCACAGAAGAACTGAGGCTTAGAAAGAATGAATAATTTGGCAAAAGCCCCAAAGAGTGTGAGTGGTAAAAAGGAGTCTAACTGTTCCTCTCTGCAGGCTCTCCAGCACTCACAAGAACAGTCCTCATGCCACTCTTGGCATCAAACCTGTATACTGACAGGGCACTAAGGGCAGAGGTATCACTCTTTCCTGGGAGGGCATAGACTGGATGACTTGCTAGGTGGGTTTTTAGGTTTAGGAATTTATTTCCATGGAGTCCCTGGCCTGGCAAGAAAAGACCAGAGATTTGTGCACACCGAACCACTGGAAGCTATTCCATAGTTATCTTAATTCATTTTTACTTTTTTAATTGTTCTAAATAAGTGGTGTTTTGGAATGCGATTCAGTCTAGCAAACCCAATTCTTTCATAAGATAGAAAAAGCATATGATCTACTACAACACCAGAGTTCCCAAATATTATATGTGAAAAGGAGTTGCAAAGGCCACATTGAGAGGCAAGTTCTTCTATTTTTTGATGGTCCAGTTGTGATCTAATGAGAAAAAAATTTAAACATAGATGATGCTCTGAGGCCTCATTTTCAACATTTGGGAATCTACCACAATATGGAAGAATGTACAGTAGCTGCACAGACAGTACTATTTATGTCATGAAAGTATAGATTTTAAAAGTAATCACTTATAAGAAAAACCTTTGCTCAGAGATAAGGAAACTGAAGGAATATATCCTGAAGAAATAAACAATTATGGATGGGTCAGTGATCTAACCAAAAGTAGGAAACTTAGCATTCAATTTAAGAAAGAAAGTCACAGAAAAATCTTGCAGCTCTGACTTTAGAAAAGTTCTTGCAGATTTCTGAGAGAAACATAATTCTGAAGTTTGCTGCCAACCTGAGAGAAAATACAGTTCTCCTGTGAAGCATGCAGATAGAAATAGTAATGTAAGGTAATTATATAAAGGGGCAAAAATGATGCCTTGACCTGAAAAGATTGAGCAATTAATAAAAAGACATACTCTGGAAATGTTTTACAGAGTAAAAATGTGCACAGACTTGCTCTCAGAAGTGAGTCAAAATTAGTTTGCAACCCAAAATTAAATAGTGACACCAGGTAAAGATTAGGAAAAAAACTACTAAGTTATGCTCAAAGTCATATTCCCTTAAATTTTGCTTCCAGAGGTATAATCCAAACCCGGCTACATGTTAGAGTCACCTAGGAAATTTAACAGATTTCCCGGGCTCCACCCCAGACCTGAATCTGTATCTGTCACAGATAAAGAATCTAGTCTTCAGAAAAGCTCCCTAGGTGACTCTTAGGCATCCCCATCCCCACCTTTGGTTCACAGGTTGGTATTTGTAAACTAACGAGATATTTCAGTTAACAATTTTTTGGTCAAACACATATACCACCTACGTAGTATTTTTATCTAAATCAATTTTTTCTTTACTTAAATAAAAGTCTTTTTTAAAGGAAACATTACATCACTACTGTAAATGAAAAATGAGCAATAATATTCATGAAGTCATAGATCTGATATGCTAGTTACACTTTTTTCTAATATGCACTGAAATAAATATATATTAAAATAAAAAATTTACCCAAGTGCCACCAGTAGCATATATGTCACACTTTGGGAAAAGTGATAATAAATAAAAGAGCATTGTTTTTGTTTAATTGAAAGAAGGCATTAAGGGCTGGATCGTGAACATTAATTTCAAAGACTCCTAAGTTGCTAACGTTTAGGGTGGTTTAGCCATTGGACCAACAATATTCTCACCAACACAACGAATCACCTGCAGGCTGTTGTCTAAGATATAACAAAGGCCTAAAATTATCCCTGATGTAAAGACTTAAGGGTGGTAAACTGATACTAACGACCTTTCTTTATATGACAATTCTAATTAATTCACACGTCACTCTCACCTTTGCTTTCGATAACAAGCCTCGTAAATTGAGTCGAACTGAAGAAAGAACTTGCACAGCTTCTTGGGGACTGGACTTGTTTTTACTGCATTTTATAGCCACTGGAAGATAAATGGGGGTGGGGGGTGGGGGACATCCGTTAAAAATTGATAACGATAATTGACAAGTACAAAACTGAATAATTTAATTAGAATTCTGTAGTAACAGACTTTAGAAATATTTCTACCTGGAAAGTTTCTATTTTTGAAAAAGGATAATAATTATGTGCATAACTCTTCTCTTTATCCTTTTTTAAGCAAGATAATTTACTGCTAAAGGGAATTTTGAGGAAAATAGGTGATTTTTGACGACTTACAGATCATTGGGAAGAGATCCTAAACACCTCCACACTGTGTGTTTGTGCACACACATACACACAGACTAATGAAAATTAGGCAAGCAGACAAAATCTTATTGAAAACGAGGTACGCAGAGAGGACAGAAACAGATGCAACCCATCTTAGTGTGGCTTTCCATGGTAACGGGTCCCTAATAGGGAGTTCACAATTTTTTTTTTTGTCCTTTTTGAGACTGGCCGCACCACGCTCAGCCCGTGAGCGCACCGGCCATCCCTATATAGGATCCGAACCCGCGGCGGGAGCACTGCTGCGCTCCCAGCACCACACTCTCCCGAGTGTGCCACGGGCTCGGCCCGTAGGGAGTTCACAATTTCTGATGACATTAGCCCAGGAAGTGGCATGCCAAATATGTACAGCTCAATTCCTACTGCATTTCCAGACTCAGGGTTTACAGCACCATTCTGGAACAGCTGATACCAACGATCTATGTGTTTTCATTTAGGCAATGTGATCACAGGTTCTTGGGTTCCTGAGCCATGCTCGGCATCAGCAGGAAAGGAGGAAGAGTGAAGTCATTCATCCATGACAACTCTGCCTCCAGCATTCTGGGAAACCATTTTCCTAAAACTTGAAATTATGAAGGGGGCATACTCCTCCCCAGCAGAAGACCCAGCTATTAATGCTTTACAAGAACAAGTGAAGAGCTCTGTACAAACATAACACCTGATATTTCTCCACCGATTTGTACTTGTTTTTGTTCCCCTAAATCATGCTCACTAAATTCAGACAGACCAATAACCAAATCTTACTTTAAAACTACACTAAACAGTGCAGGGATTAAAGTCTACTTCATACCCTAGATTGTAGACCAGGGATGGAAAATAGATTTCTTTTTGCATGCAAACTCTAATCAATTGATAGAGGATGCCTATGCCTGGCAGAATAGTTTTTTCATTAATTAATATCTTCCCTGGCCAGCAAGAACTAGGTGTTTTCATTCCTATTTCAGAATAATAATTATACTTTGACATTTCTCAGCTAAGGGTTGAAAGGATGCATGGTAATTAGCAATGTTAATCCCATTTTCAAAGGGCATAAATTAACCCAGAGATAGTGAAGATTATGATGTCTGTTTCTCTTAGTAGAGAAAAATTGTTAACTGCCATGACAGAGGTGTTTGAGCTGTTTAATACCTAGTAGTTTATATCAGAAAAATGTTGATTCTTATTTTATTTCTTTATATTCATTCTGAGAAAAATAAAAATAGAGCAAAAAAGACAAACACACTCTTATCAATTTCCCTCCTCAATCCCATTTCCAAAAGGCATTATAGATTGAGTTAAAAATAGAGGTATATAGAGAGAAATAACCTTCTGTTTCAAATCATCAGAAAATCCAAAAGAGCAGTGCCTTGTTCGTAGTCTGTAGTTAAAGTGCATAACTATTATTTAGTTTTGGGATGGCAAAGAACAAGTGACCTTCAGCCCACCCTTCACCAGAGTATAAAACAGCAGAAACTAAATAAATACTCTCCAGACAATACAAACGGGCACACAGTGACAACACTGTTATAGATAGGTCTCTAATGCTATGTCTGGATTGCAATGTCTTATCAGCTTTCTGACCTACATGGCTACTCTTAACAGTAGCAACCCAAGGAGTAAACCATTGGAGATTAAAACAAAAAAAATTTTTCCCTTTTTAAAATTGGGTGGGGTGGAGGAATAGTACTGGGGAGAAAGACTAGAGAGAGAATAGAATCACAGAGAAACCCAGCTCACTCTTTGATTGAGCACTGTATAGAAAATCAACAAAGGTTAAGATTTATCTTTATAAATCTAAAATATCATTAGAAACTAAAGCTAAGTATCCACTCAAATATGCTTAGAATGTTGTAGGAGCACCAACACGTAATTCGTTAAAGTCAAGGGAGAACTTAAAAGAATAGACACCTGTGATTCTCATTGCCCTGATGAAAAAAAATGGTGCCAACAATAGTTTAAAAGCCACTTTAAGATGCAAAATGAAGATTATTTTCCCTGGAGTGTATTCTGTAACCTGCATATTTATTTTTGACAGGTTTAATACCATCACTTGGTGATTACAGAAAATATCATGGCTTTGTTATAAACCCAGTGGTTCACAGAAATGTTTAGAGTTGGCAAGTTGAAGTAGATAAGATAAATTCTTCTAAGCCACATGAATTCCAGCGACCCCTAAAACACTCTTCCACTGATCTATTAGCGATTACTTCAAACTTTTCTACACTGCATTTCAGCTGTACAGAGTTCAGTGCTTCTACCTTATCTGCCCAGGGCTAGGTGGCCCAAGAAATTTGATATTTATACCTTTTTGGTCAAAGATATCAAAGGCCATAGTAGAATTATTAACTACCAAGCTCATTTCTAAATGGTTTGAACGTTCTGTGACTTCTTTATAGGCAGGTGAAACTTTATCCTTGTTCTTCATTTTTCTTTTTTTAGTTTTGAGCCCCTTCCTTTATTATATAGCCCAGATCTTCTACTTCAGAAAGAACAGGAAGGGGGTGGGAGGGTAAGGGATTAACATTTAAACCACGTGTAAAATACTGCTAAGTGTTTAAACGATTTTGTTGATTAAGAACCATAGGTAGGTATTAACCCCATTTGACCGATGAGAAAACTAAGGCTCAGAGAAGTTAAGTAATTTTACCTAAAGTCACCTAGCAAGCATGTGGTAGAGCTGGTCCTGGAGCTTATGCCTCCCTGATTCCAAAGCTCTGCCCTTTTCATTGTTTTCTGTTGGCCCCTACTTGCTGTCACTATTAGTGGCAGGAAGAAGAGAAGTAGGGGGAGGATTTTAGGATAGGCTCACAGTCCTTGTGATTCAGCTCTTAACAATGGGGTTCCATTACTTTATTGAAACTACATTCCCAAGGGCATCACACACCCATATTCAAATATTGGTATAAAAATGCATTACTTACTTTAACTGATGTACTTTTCATTAATGCAATAATTAAAAGCAGTCTTTATCTAGACTATATTTACCCAACAGGTATATAATTTTATATGTACGGTTACCTCCTCCCCTCAAATAACACCCTTTAAGTTTCCCAAAGACAAGGATTACATTCTATTTTATATTTCTTTTGTATATGCCATAGCTCTTTGTATATTGCTATATACTCCAGAAATCTATGTATTTTTATAAATAAATATTTTTATTCATTAAAGAAGAATATGAGTCAAGGAAAAATTAACAGATTTCCTTAATACTACATAATCAACACAAACAGACTCTGTGTGAGTGAAGGTTATATACAGTTGTAAAGGTATTTCACATCTCTAAAGAAGTTTCTAATTCCTGTCACTTATTCAAACAGTATTTAAGCCTCTATCCTATTTCTTCTTATTGCTCCAAAGTGCCTACACATAGTAGTTGATCTATAAATGTTTGCTGAATTAAACACAATTTCAATATAATGAAATAATTTGAAATTATTTGTATTGGAACTTTGCTTTTGACTAACACTCTTTTTCATCAGTAAAAAGTACATTAAAGTATGCCACGGATATCAAATGTTCTATCAATTACCATGTGCAAGTCCTAGGGCTCTTTGAACAACTTCCTTAAATGATGTAATATCTTTCTCCCAACAACCGGACTGTATGTCACACTTGTACGCCTTTGAGAGATACTGGAATGCCTGAGGAAAGAGAAAGAACTACATTCAGAATAACAAGTGGAATTCACATTTCAAACTGTTTCCTGGAAGTCATATGGAACTAATTCCCACATGAAAAACCAGCATGTGTTATAAGGCACAGTCTCTATTATTCTCATCAAAGAAGGGGTAGAGATGCACATGCAGGAACAATGCGCAATTACAAGAAATCAAATGGATGGATCTAGATAGAGACACTTCCCTGTAACTAGAGAATATAAAGGCCAGGTTTGGAAATCCAAAAGAAGTATACAGATTTCCTCAGCATTTGTAGCCATCAGCTTAAGAGGCCCATTTAGAGAATGAGGTGTGAACTTGGTGAAAACTATGGAATTGCTGGTAGGTGTGTAATCTCCCAGATGTTTAAAACACTCTCTTTCAAATCCTCAGGAATTCTTGAAGGAGAAGTCACAGGTCAGAGAATTCAGAGCACAGTGCATTTATGCGATTATGCGAGACAGTGCATAATTTGAGAAGAAATGGGAGGACAGGAGGTAGGAGTGAGGGCATGCGTGCACATGACATGTGTTCTCCGGGCTGACAAGGCAAAGGCAGAAGCCAGCTGTGTGAACCGAGGGAGGAAGAGAACAGCTAGAATCCCACAGATTAGCTATACCGTGGCTAATGGGAAAACCACGCAAGTAGTACATTTGATTTGTTGTGGATGTTTTGAAGAGAAACAAAAGATTACTTCAAACTTGGAAACTCTGGGGGCTTCTTCAAGTTCTAAGATTAGAGGTTAAATGCATAACTCGAGTGTAAGTGGTATCTAATGCACTTGTGAGAAAGGGGCAGGGCAACCTCTGTAAAGTATTATATGTTTAGACTTCGAAAGTTTTTCTCCAATATCCTTATCTAGTTCCTTTTTTTCCCTTTTGTAGCTCTCAGATCTAAACACTCTTTTTGTCCTTGTCCCCAGTCTACCTCCGTCTTTAGCAATGAGGCCACAGAAAGTGGTGCTGCATAAACAAGAGCCAGCTGCTTGCTGCAAAGCCATAGGGGCAGCAGGTTAAAGAGACCCTTTTGCAGGAAACAGAACAACTGTATAAGAAAAATGCATGGAGGGCCGGCCCGGTGGTGCACTGGATAGTGCGCCTGGGAAGCGCGGCGGCGCTCCCGCCCGAGGGTTCGGATCCC